TGAGCCCGACCAAAGCTCAGGCTGCCACGTCTCCCTCTGCTCAGCGGGAGGAGGGAAGGGTGCTTGCTGTCAGTGCAAAGTGGACCAGCGGGCCTCTGCCTTTCCCTTTATCTCTTCTCCCCTTCCACGGAGAAGAAAGGGATTTTAAAATATTTTTACGTGGTTGCTTTAATTTTGGAAACTTATAGTTTCATATGAAAATGAAACCAAATGCAGAATGCCATTTCCTGAATATAGATCCATTGCAGGTCTTAGGAGGTACCACTAAATTTTTTTGTTAAAAAGTAGAATCATAAAGTAACAGAAGGGAGAATATTTCTATGCTGAGTGAAGAAACTAGAGAGAAATTATAGAATCAGTATTTTGTATCTGGAAAGGCTTTTAAAGGCTTCATTTTAGACAAGGGAACTGAGGCCCAGAGAGGTTCTTCAGCTTATTCCATGTCACACAGCTAAGTAGTGGCTGATTTCAAGTGAAAACCCACTTCTCTTGCCAAGGTTCAGAGCTTTTTCTGTCTTGTTATAAAATTTTTTGAGAATAGTCAATTCTATTAAATGTCTCTTATTTTTTGAAACCTGGAAAAATGAAAATTTTAACAAAATGATATTTCGTTTCTGAGTCGAATCAAGATGGGTCTGTTGTATTTGTGAGTGTGTGTGTGCCTGCCTAAATGCATATGAAATTGCACTTTTTTCTTAGTTCCTTAAATACATTCCATATGTTCTGAGAGTGTGATATTTAAATCAGGAAGAAAGTCTGTCATCTTAGCCTGAGAAACCACTGACAACTTTCACATGGTTGTAGGCTGCCACCTGGCTTGGTCAACTCATGACTCATAACATAAATCCGTTATTAACTTCCTTATCTTTTGCTATAATCGTTGGACTATTGATTTCTCCATGTCCTAACTGCCCGATTAAAACTACTAATGAGGATAGCACTAAAAAGACGTAAGTCATAAAACATCTGATTGCAGACTACTGACAGGTATGCTGGTCAGTCAATTGAATGACACGCGATTATTGCCAGTGGCGTGCTCTGTGCTGAAATGGGGCCATGGAAACCAAAGGCACGAAAATAGTAGATACACTCACGAGACTGTCTGTGAAACACTGCAGATGTCCAGTAAAAAGAAGTTGGCAGTTGTTGCGATTTCATGCATGAGAATTTGCACAGGACTGCAGAAGCAAGTTCCTGACTTCCGTAGAGCTACGGTTAGAGCCTTTTAGGGGATAAGGGGATGATGTCATGTATGATGTGAAGCTATCTCATGCACCTGATGACAGCACCTTTCCTCAGACCATCAGAAACATG